TACGTCCATGCACACACACACACACACACCTGCATGCATACAGCCGACATGCCACTCCACCGGGTCACTTGTCTTGGTGTGACTTCACGTGTTTACCAAATCATGGATCCAACTTTTCCTTCTGCCAAAACTGTCTGCGCAAGTGCACTTGAGACTCTGCCACCGGCTCGAAACACGCCGCTCCCTCTCTCTGCGTGTCCTCTCGCCGTATCTCTCGCTCTCTCTCTCTCCCTCCCTCTCTCCATGTTCTCCGATTCCTCCTCCCTTTCTTCGCGTAGGGCCCCAGCAAGCCCGGACCGCTGCCGCCGCCGGAACCCCGCAGGGGTGTGCGCTCGGAGCCTCCGCGCCGTCGGAACAGATGCTCTGACGCAGTCTGGGCCGAGCGCTTCGCCCCTCTGAGGCTTCGACGGTCCTCGTAGCCACCTTAGCTTTCCGGCAAGCTGCCAATGTGCCCTGGACCCTCGGTTCTAGCCGTCTGGCCTCCTCCATTCTCCGCATCCTTGTAGACGTACCTGATACAACGCATCAGAGATGGAAGAGAGCAGGCACCCGTTTCCTGATTCCCTGTTCGCACCACGCAATCACGGCCGCAGGCAGCGTGACGGCGGGAACCAGGATGAGGATCAGCGATCGTAGATTCGAGCTGCGCGTGACACAGAGCCAATGGTGCTGGAATTCTGTCATGAGACCCTGAAGCTGTCCGCATGATTTCCTGCACACGTGTCTAGACTCTCTAGTTTCCTTCGCTACCGTCTCAGAACTCTAGGAGGCTATGTGCCTGAAGGGCAGATTGTCAGAGAAGAGGGGGAAGGGAGAGTGGACCTGAGCTGAGAAAGCACAGAATGAGGCGACCCGCTACGGTGCCCACGGCGTTACTTCCTTGGCGCCCGGCCCAGAAATCAATGAACTTCACGAAATCGAAGATGCCGTTAATGAAGCACATCATACCCCAGTAACCTCACGAACATGCTGGCCCTGCGCGCTTTCTGCAAGATCTCAGCCTCTCAACTGTTTTCCTAGACTCGCTCTTGCTGAATTCTCGGGCAGCGGACAGAGGAAGGTGCCGTGCATCTCCTCCTGCGCCGAGACCGAGGCAGACAGAACCCGGATTGAACAGATTCGAGCAGCGGATAGCACCGGCAAAGCGGAAGGCGGAGGGCGTCAAAGCACACAAAGCACATGCCGTTTGGCCTTGTAGGCATACCACCCGAAACCTGTCGCGATGGCCTCACCGCAGCGATGGCACTCGCCACGTGAATCTCCCACAAACGACGCTGCGAAGCCCGGCAAAAAGGCTCATGACTAAAGCCCACGACAAGGGGTCCGGGCCATAATAAATCCACCCAGGATATCCAGCAGGAACACCTCAAGGCTCTTCCGACTGCAGCGGCCGCGTTTGTGGTTCATGTCTTAACCCTTTGTGGGGGCCTTACAAAAAACGACTCTTCATGGTCTATAGCACTCAGCCGCACACCCAGCGGGAAAGGATGACGACGGTCTGCAAGATCAACAAGCAAAGGATGGTCGTCTGCCTCTCACGGGAAAGCCGCTTCCAAGGATGCGCTTCGAAACCTGAGACCTTAAACCTTAGAAGCCCTAGCAAGACCCGGAGCCCTCAACCCACTGCGACTGCAACGGAGGTTCTCGGAGCCTGGACTTCGCATAGCTGCTGTAGCCGCCCAGGGCGACGGGCCTGCGCTCTGCGGCGGCCGGCAAGGCTTCTTCCCACTCTCCAAACTCGAGAAGTTCTGAGTGCCCTGCGGCATTGGGATGAGCATCCCGCCTTCCGCCTCAGCGCGCGCGATTGAGCAGGCATTGGCTGAGAGAGACAGAGAGGAAGCAGAGAAAGACAGAGACGAACCGAGAGGAGATAACAGAGATAGAGAAAGGGAGGGGGAAATCAAGCAGAAAGAGAGAAGGGGAAAGGGAGAAAGGGAAAGAGAGAAGAACCGCACGGGCACGCTGAGCCCTCGGCGGGGCCGAGGCCGGGCGGGGCTTCCCCCCGGGTTTCGGAACGAAGGGCCCCCTCGGCCGAGCCCCCGTCAAGCTGGGAGCCGAGAGCGGTGCAAGACCTTGCCTAGCCTCTCAAGCCAGCCTTGCAAGGTTTCAGAAGACATCCTACTTTTTGGATGATTCTTGAGAGATCCGCAAAAAAATCAATGAACAGATCCGTGTCCTCTTCTACGACTACCTGCTCACCGCAGAGCCTCGTTTAAGGCATCAGTGGGGTCACAACGAAGGACCTCCATTGGCGCCTAGGCCTAGGCCCAAAACCAGAAGCTCCAATCGCCCTGAAAATCCTCGCCTCAGCATGAATCCCATGATCGACTGAGGTGATCCCCCCACCCGAATGCAGGATCAACCCTTGCAGACTAAGGAGGTTTGGTAACACCATCTAACACCTCACGAGGGCTTGGTTGCCCGTGTGGACATGGCTCTTCAAATCTTGGGCACTGCATGAGTTCGACTAGGTGCTTCGCGTGTGCTGCTCTTTCATGCTAGCCAGTTAGACTCCCGACAGTTGCTCGAAGTTGTCAATTCATCCAAATGCTCGAAGTTGTCAATTCATCCAAAATCTCGGCAACTGCGTGATGTTTGGTGTTGGTGCGAAAATGTTGTGAGAATCTGTACAGCAAAAACCCCCTTCCAGAGACTGCAATTTGCAACTTCCCTCTGCTCAGCTCTACCAACATGCCACGACGATCATTCTCAGTCTAGGAACGCGTGAACCCCTACCCCACTATGGCCCGCTTTGCCAGGAAGCTGTCGAACCTCCTTCGCAACGCGCATTTTCATTTGCAAGGGCTAGTAGAAGGTCATCGCTGTGCTGCTTGAGGAGTTGTTCGACAGTGGCCCAGTGGTCATTTTCCCAAAGGCACGGACCCAAGACCAGGCCTTGAAGGCACAAGAAAGCGGAGGAGGATTCAAGGAGGGGGTTCTTGGGACTACTATAGGGGACTTTAAGGGACTATCATAGGGATCCATTTCTGTGGGTACCGAGCCGATGACAGCTGAGTTCACTTCCCATGCAGAGGGCAGACATCAAGACAGTCGCAAGAACCAGCAGACAAAGCTCAATCTCTGGCGACATTGTTGTCGGGCTTACCTAGAAAATCCTACCTAGACTAACCCCTACAAAAACCAAAATACCTGAACCCAAAACCTAAAGCCTACAACCCTAGACCCTGACCACATTCAAGATCCGGAGCATAAACGCCCTTAGCTACAACTTTCCTCTCCCTCAAACAATCCATCACATGCTGCTCGCCGGGGCTTTGACCCGAAGGGACTGAAGCATCAAATCTGCGCAAGTCTTGGACCTGAAATCCCCAACCATCCAAAAGATCTGAAACGCTTTCAAATCTGCCCGAGGCCCGGACGCAAAGCGTCAAGATCCAGTTTCAGCCTGACGGAGCTTGGGAAGTGTGTCCCACTTTTGGTAGACCTGAGCGTTGCAGTTTGCTTGGGACCTACGGCGCAAGATGAAGAAGTGAGGTAAACAAAACCTCACAGCTCGCACTTATTGATCTGCCGTGATGATAGCAGTTCTGACGTGCCCGAAGCCTCGCAAATAGTCAATGTCAATGTGTGCGAATCGAATGGCCTTTCCGGCATGAGGGCTCTGGATTTTGGGCCCACAACGTGCGAAAGCTTGACCTCCAAACTCCAAACATGCAAAGGGAAGATAGCACTACCAAGTTCGGCTTGGATGAAACGACCTTTATGACAGCTTCGTACAGGCACCATGCCAAGCTTGCACTTCAACTTGGCACGTTCACGCCAGAAACATCGAGCAGCCTCCAGAGTCATGACAGCCACATGGCGAACTACTCGCAACAGTAATTATGGAATGAAGGCAATGGCACGTCTGCTGCTGGAGTCCGGCAGTTTTCAGCATGTCCGATTTGCAACATGACTGCTGCAGTTTTCCGGGCCAGCTTGATTCCATGCATGCCTTGCAACGCCTGGGCATGAACCGAAATTCTGGGTCGGAGTCAGGGTAACGGAAGCTTTCAAGTGTCAGTTCAAGCATGCTGCGTGGGTGCACAGAAAAGGTTGTGATGGCACATGGGGCAAGTATGCACATAGTTGGTTGACAGTTGAAAGCTAGACCGTCCCTGCATACAGTCTGCAACCCCCCCCCCCCCCACACACACACATACCTTTGTACAGATCAATTTGAATCCACATCAAACGACAAACGAGCGAAGATCACCACAGTCCACGATCTGGTTTTCAATAAAGCCGTACCAAGCAAAACCTCTAACAGAGGCCGCATCTCTCCGAAAAAATTCACATCTTTGCAGTTTGAAGTAAACCTTCCCAGTTTGACTCTGCGACCATGCGACTGACAAATCTTACCCGAACACGATGGCCGACGGGGGCAAATCCAATCTGCGACACATCCGGGCGATGAGAGAACTCGCGCTCGTGACTGGCGATCTGAACTTGCTACCAACGCTCTTGATCCATCAGAGACGACTTGGCTACCAATGAGTGGCAACGGTCATGCAGCTCATGCCCCGACATTTTCCCATCCATGTCGTTCTGAAGTGGGCTGCGCCGGTTCACGAAAGGGCACGACCTGGCTTGCAATCGACCTTTAAAGACTGGCATCCGGAAACCAGGGTGGCACCACCAGCAACATCACATCAACCAAACCGTCTGTTTTAGTTCTGCTGACACCACCATCATTTGCATCATCTTCCTCCTCAGTTCAAGATTTGGGAGTTAGGAGCGGGCTGAATGGCATGTAAGGTTTTTTTCTGCATACCGGCAGCTGCAGGGCTTGGTTATATCATGGCTAAGGGCTCAAGATGCAGGGTTGAAGGTGCATTTGGGACTGAAGACTGTGACCCAACCATGTACTGCGTGTTTAAGGTCATGTGTTTACGGCACAACTTGCAACGTCGGGGTTGCTTGAAGATAGATCGTCGCTAGTTAGGACTTCTAGCTCTGACGCCAATTGCCATCTCTCCAGCTTGGTAGTGTAAAACTCGCCCTCTCTATCGTAACAGCCACTCGCGGAACTTATAAGCCCATGATCCCCATCCCGCCAGAAAACGCTCACAGACACTAAAATTTAATGACCACCTCTCGAACCAGTGACCGCCAACATCTAGAAGCCCCGGCGTTCCATGGATTTGTTGGGCCCAGGTGCTGGCTTCCCTTTGCCTTTGCCTTTGCCTTTAAAGGCAAAGGAAAGGGCCAGCACGCGGTTGCGTAACTTGGATCCACAGGGTTGCTTTTGGGCGTTGAAATTCGGGATCCAAGCAGCACAAGTGTTCCCAGCGAATGCAATCGCCCCAATGAATTTGAGTTCTGCTTAGAAGGTGTTTACGAATTTACTATCTGTTAAATTTCAGTTGGAGCTTGCAATTTCTACATTGGGGGGGTCTACTGCTCTTCTACTACATCGAGCTAGTTTGCTTACCTGTGCACGATACTGCATAGGTCGGTTCGCGTAGCAAGGCGTCTACTATGATTGTGCCAGTGTGCTGGTTAGAATTATTTTGCTTCCGACAACGTCGACCGGATTCCATGTACATGTACACATACTAGAATCAACTCAAGTATTCAATGCACATGCTTTCTGGCCGCATGTATTTTTGCACGACCCTTTTCTAATCGAAAACTTACACAGCCATGGAATTTCGGCAATGTCTTCCGCAGACTTCGATGCTGTCGCTAAGGCAAGAACAAAGGCCCATAGGCATTCACTTTCGAAAGACACAACTACACAGGCAAGAGCACATCGCCCCGCCTCTCGGGCCAGGCCTCTCCACAGGGACCTGGAAAGGGGCGCCCTTGTGCCGGGAGCCTCAGAGAACCGAGCTAAAAGGATTTGAAGTCAGCACTTGCATGAACGCCTGACTCTTGGACAGAAGCACGACGAAGAGTAAGGCACGGACTGCAGCGAAGGCGGAATCGTTTTCTTGCCGAAGTTCGCTTGCTTTCGATGTCCTCAGAATGAATGAGAGCTCCATCTGCCCACAAGCAATCACCCAGCAAGTCGCAAGGCCCCCGTTGTATAACGACAACCAATAAAATAGAGATCAGTTGTAAAGCAACAATCAGAACGTGTAATGCGATCACCGATAACCGCTGAAGAAGGGTGCAAATAGAACAGACCGCTGGAGGCCATTAGGTCACTAGGTTTCGACTGGAACGCTCAGCAATGATCTTTTGCTGCTTTCCATCGTAAGCTGCCATCACCTTCACTGTACATCCCATACTTGTTGTGTTTGGGCGCTGGAAACAAAGGCAGGGTTGTGGGGAGATGTGTCTTCACACATGCTGATGTGGTGGAACCCCACCCCTTGCAGGAAACAGCAACAAGCACACGCATCATGTTCTTCGGAACGCCCGCCTTTAGCATAGCGTTTGCATGCGGGAAACATTATTTTCAGACAACTTCTGGAAACAATCGGAAACAAGTCGTCTCGTAGCGTTCTATGGGGGAATGAACGGTGCACTGCAATTGGGATGCCTTTGGGGTCACATTGTTTTGTGTATGGCATGGGGTTTGGAAATCTTCCATGCCTTCAACTTTTGCGATGGATAAGCCAAGGAATTGAGCTTCTGTGGTGGAACCTATGCCGTGGGTGAATGTAAAACGCGATGGCAATCCTGAGCGGTCTCCCAGAAGTCTATGAGGTCGACCACCTTCGGAAAAAGGTGCACACCACACAA